AGGTTTAGGTCTGACTTTGTCTCCTTATAGGAGCCTCAGGCAAGCCGCTTCTCTGTTAAGGTTTCTAATTGTAAGAGGAAGTTGGATCCCAGTGGATCTTTTATACCTTGGAATCCAACTGTATGAAAGACGCCATTGGGAAACTTCTGTAGCATAGGATCCCAAAGTCCCCTTCCTAAAAATAGAGCCGCCATTCCCCTTCCTCTTAAGGCTCTCAAAGTGCTGTGTTAGTCATGGTCTAATCAGGACACTTTAGAGACTACATACGAGATTTTTAAGGAGAAGAAAATGAGTTGCAAAAGTTGTTGGAGCTGTTGGCAGCAAAGGGTCTGGGAAGGCATCGCAGATTGACAACTGCAGGCACCTGGTGTAAGTCCTAGGCGAGGAAGAAGGCGATGTTACCAAAGTCCAGGCCAGTGGGAAGAAGCAGCAATTGGGGTGGAGATGGAGGAAGCCAGTGTGACAGCATGAAGGCCGACGTGGAGTTCCAGAGGAGATGTAGTCACTGCTGGAAATGCTGTCCCGGTTGGAAAGACAGCATCAGAGTCTGGCATCTTACCACTGCTGACCCCTCTCAGGGTAGAAGATGGTTGCAAAGAAGTGTTGGGAATGGATCTGCCCTCAAGCCAGCAGATATTAGGGTGGATCCTTGCCTATTTTTACTTTCTGTAATTAACTGTGGTCCAAAACCACTAACTAGAAAATGCTAGAAATAATCATGTTTCAAATACTGTTTATTGCAATATATTATTATAATTATTGTTTTGTTATTATGGTTTTACTCTAATTTATAAATTAAACTTTATCTTAGGTACATCTATATAGGAAAAAAGAGTGATGTACAGAGTTTAATTTATTTGCAGTTTGAGGCTATTTATGGGAAGTCATAGACTGTATTCCCCTTTGGGGAAACTAACTGGCAGGAACAATCAAAAGGCACTAAATCCAATGATCTTTAAACTTCCTTTGAGCACTTATATCCCAGAGTTCACGGCTGACTTCAGAGGTTCCTCCTAGCTTCTCTTACTGTGAAGATACTGTTCCGGGGTCTTAACAGGTAGCTCTTCTTAGGAGTTCAAAGTTTCTTGTAACATTCTTGTATTTCTCAGGATAACACTTACTCATATCTCTATCTCCCTGTCTCCCATAGCCTGGAGGAGTTTTATTTTTCCTTATGTGTGCTGTGCTGACATTTCATGCAAGTTCTATTCCTGGCAGATTTTTAGTCTTTTGAAGACAGGGACATAATCTTACTCATTTTAACCTCAATTTATGTCACCAAGAGGCTTCTAGGAATGTGGAGCCAAAATGCACACACCAACGGTGTTAGACAGTTGATCAGTATCATTTGTCAAAGAACCTCTGTTTTTCTGGAGTCTGTGATCTTGGCCAACTGAATTAATACATTCACAACACAGCATACATGGGTGACTTTTACCACCCAGTGGGACTGTCCCATGCTACCTGATGGGAATGCCATACATGTGCCACTGGCTAGGTTATGCAATAGTAAAACCTCCAGAATCTCAGGGGCTAAAAATCCACAAAGGTTTATTTTCTCTACACATCTTTTTGGGCACTTGGGATGTTTCTGTTCTCCCTCAGGCTCCTAGCCTGCCATCTTGAATATGACATTCCCTTTGTGGGGGGGGACTTGGATTGGATGGGAATCATGGTGATTTAATGTTCACCTGGATATGTCACGTCATGTGTTCTCACAACTTTCTGGTTGAAACTAGTTATTTGGCCTCAGATAATTTTAGCTAAGGCAGAGGAAGATTGGGAATATTTATAGTTTTGCACTAATGACAGGTACAGAGAAAGTAAGATTTGATTTTTCACAATTGTTTAACCATTAGGGGAATATTTGGACTAATGACACTAATTTGACTTTAAATGAGTGTTTAACCATCAGATAACATGAATGCTTAGTATACTGTCTAGTACAATTTATAGCAGATAGTTATTACTTTTAATATTTAGCAGTTTATGTTAGCTACATTTTCAGCATTCGTTTGTTTAGTAGATTGTTTCTCATCTTTTTTCTCCTCTCCTGAAAATGCAAAAGTAAATATAAGTTGTTCATTTCTGGACTTAACATAAATTCTTTATAAGTGGAGGTGATGTAATGAACTTTAGACTTAGTCAGTGACTGCATTCTTCCAAGTTGTGCGTTGAAAACCAATACATGATGATAGTATGAGAAAATTACTTTGTGAAGTTATAGTTTGGCTTTTCAGCACTGGCTCTGGAAGTGTACTCACTGTCTTGGTTTTCAGTTTGAGAACATTGAACTTTGAGCTGACTTTTTCATTTCAGTCAGTGTGGAAGCAGTCAATATGTATTACATGTCTATAAAGCTGATCACTAGATCAATTGCAATTAGTTTGCAGCAGATTGCATTACCATACCCAGAATTAATACTGAGAATACTCTGATGAAAAGGATTGACCATGATCACATTGTGGCTGTTTTTAGTGTCTCTCACATTTGCTTTGAAAACTATAATTTTTCCTTTGGTTGATGGCTGTATATTGGTTCATCAGCAGACTTAATCCGTTGCTTCTTCCCATTTGCTTTTTTAAATAGTCCCAGATAATGGCACATATGTAACATTTAATGTTTTCTTTCATTACAGTTTTATTAAATATCTTAAACTTGTATTTTTCTTGCACTGTTATATGGCAGGCTCTGAAGAGTATTAAGGCTGCTGAATGTTCATTTATGAAATTCTGTGTTTTTGTAACGTTCCATTAAGAATTTAAACATTTAAAGTAAGATTAACATAATATATAGTTGAGTAGTAATATATGATAAATGATGTGAGCCTTGCTTTTCTGGCAGCTTGTTTTTATCCCAGAATTGTTTACTTCTAAAGAACTATAGTCAACTTCATTATTAGAAACAGTATTACCAATATTTAGAAGGACCAGAAGAGGTATATTTAGCTTTGATCATGTCAAGATTGAATTTTTCACAAATACACATAAATCATATCTAGTTTCGACCTTAAGTACTAAGTTGTATTTTTGTATTTTTAGTGGTGGTTATTTTTTGGGAATGAAGAATGGTTTGCATCAGGGGATAAAAGTCAGGGTTTATTCACTTGGTCAACTAATATTTTATTTAGTATTTTCTATATGCCAAGTACCATTGTACTCTAATTCTTAAAGATACAAAAAAGTGTGTGACACACTCTGACATCCTATGCCCTTGAGTAGAGGGTAGTATTATGGTTCTAGTTGTAGGGTTCTGGAGCCTCTTTGAATCCCTCTTGTCAAAAAGAGCTCACTAGTATTATTGTAGCTTGGAGATTCCAGAAGAAAAATGACTTTTTTTTTTTTTTTTTTGGTAAAGGGAATTGAGCTCAGGACCTTTCACTTGCCAGGCAGGTGTGGTGCCACTGAGTTACATCCCCAGCCCAAGAAAATGACATTTTAAGCTTGCCTTGGAGGTTCTGAAAGCTAGTGTTTCAACTTTGAGACTTAATGCAGGGTGGTCTGCCTGATTCTACCTTAGGCATCTCCCAAGGCCATGACAGAAGTTTCTAGGGCCTGTATTGTGGGATTTTCACATTCTGGCCAGTCTTAGGATCCACTCTGGCGATTTTTTTTTTTTTTTAGTTTGCATTAATGGTGTTATCTTCCAACTTTTTGAAAGTTTCTGGAAAGAAGTATAGTTAAGTGTATTCATTTTTCCTCCTGTGATTTTTATTTATTTAGTTTTTTGGTACCAGCCATCGAACTCAGGTCGTTGTGCTTGTGAGACAGGCGAACCACTGAGCTAAATCCCTGGCCCTTCCTGTGATTTTTTTTTTTTCATTTACAAATAGGGTTTATAGATTTGATAAGGAATGCTATGCTATTGGAACCAGGATTTATCTGTTTGTTATTCTGTGTTTTGGCTGTGTTCTTTCATTGTCTATTATAAACTAATTGATAGTGCATATTATAAAACGATTTCAACTTGAAACTTAAGCAAGACTATTGTAATGCACTTGTTGCTGTATAGTAACTAGTTTAATTAATAGAGTATATTGTTGTACTCAGCATTGGTAAATTAAAGAGATAATCTTATTAAAATCAAAATGACTGTATCTAGGCTCCATCAAAAACTAAGAACTAGTTTCTGGCCCAGTGATCTTGAGAGTTAAAAAGGTTTTCCTCAGCCATCTGGTGGCACCTGATTATATGTAATCTTATGTGTTCAGTAAGTCGAGGCAGGAGGACTGTGGGTTTGGGGCCAGGTTGGGCAATTTAGCAAGACCCTGCTTTAAAATAAAATTTAGAAGGCTGGGAATGTAGCTCAGTGGTAGAGAGTTTGCTCACATGCAAGCGGCACTGGGTTCAATCCTCAGCACCAAAAAAATAAAAATAAATAAATAAATAAAGGAATGGAAAGAAAAATTCCTGAGGTACTTTCTAATGGTTAATGATGTGCATGCAATTACTAAAGAAATAATATGTGTATGACTATTTGGGGTGTGAGTGGTGCATGTCACGGAGGCATAGGCTATAGATCGTAAAGTGATGGTGAACCTTTTAGAGCTTTCAGTGATAACAGACAACTCGCTGCAGCACTCGTGCCATAGATTCACCACCGTGGTGATAGGACTTTTAATAACTTTTAAAAGTAATTTATAAATACTTCCAGACTCACAGAAAGTTGCAGAAGAATCCATGTATCCGTTGCCCAGCTTCCCCTTGCTTTGCCATCTTATATAATTGTACAATGGCAAAAGAAGGAAACTTGCATGGGTTTGTTCCTATTAACTAGATCATAGATCTCATTCCATCATTACCATTTTTTAAAAATTGCATGTATTTGTATATGTGGTTGTTTTGAACACTTGATTAAAAATAATCATGAAAAATTTGCCTAGATACATTTTTGTTTTCCTAATTCCTCTTTGATGGTGCCCGTAAGACTAGCCTTACAGAGTGACTGTTATTTTTCTTGTTATTAATTTTTGTTGTACATCTCCCCCTCAATTTCTCTAGGCAGTTCAGTGCCCCTCCAGAAGATGGCTCAACCTGCAGGAATACCAGAGCAAGAAACTGATGTCTGACAACGGAGTTAGAGTTCAGAGATTCTTTGTAGCAAACACTGCAAATGAAGCTCTGGAGGCTGCTAAGAGACTAAGTAAGTGAAGTCACGACAAGTGAAGGGAATGTGCTTGCTCAAATGAGTGCGTTCATAGGCAGTGGTTTCCTACTACTGTAGTTTAGTTCTTCTGTTGGGGATTATACCAGTGGGGATAGATTCAGGGGAGAACTTGGAATATGCAAAAAAAAAAAGAGTTGAAGATTCTTTCACGAGGTAGCAGTACATGGATGTCACTCCACGGTAATGTCTCTGAGTTTTCAGCCTCCATTCACCCACTTCTCTTGGCTCTGGTTAGTGGCTGTAAGAAACAGGAATGAGGGTATAGAGAATCCACTGGGGCAGGTCAGGCATAGTGATTGACACCCTTTCTTAAGCTTCTCAGAAGCAGAGAGGAGTTCCTGTGACTGGAGGAGAGCAAGAACGACATATATTTTAAAGTCAAAATGATTCTGGTTCACTGTTTGTTTTTTTCCTCCCTTTATCAGATCTGTAACTTTGTATAAGGCTCTTCTTTTCTTATCTATGGACCAAAGCTAATACCATTTCTCTCCCAGTGCTGCTGTGACACTTTCAAGGAAACTGTACATCGTGACAGTAGAAATTATAGTTAATATCTCTAGATATAGACTGAGACATGAAGAATTAAGCTTGTTGTCTGCTTTTCTTATTGTCATCCTGGACCATCAGTGTCCAATAGAAAAAGAATATGAGCCACAAACATATTTTTTAAAATTTCTGGTAATCGTATTAAGAAAAACAAAAAGAAATAGGTGAAAGTAACTTTAATAATACATTTCACCTTTTATTAGTAGGACATGTTTTGCTGTTATTTTCACAAATTTGATTAGTATTTTGAACCTGTAACAATCTTATTGCTTACTAGTCACATTGCGGGTGCACAAGAGTCACTGATGGTAAGTGACTGCAGTATTGGATGGTGTAGGTCTGGGCCACAGAAGGATTTTCATTTGCATTCTTCTGCAGCCTCAGAGAGTAGTTGTTTACTACCAGAAATAAAGAATAGAGGATTTGTAGTCATTTGTAGTTTTCAGATGGCCAAATATAGAGGTGGAGAACAACTTAGATTTTAAAAAATAGAAAATTGGTTTCATTTTCAAAAACTATCAAAATAGGTTTTTATGGTGAAACTCCAGTGACATTACTAAACCCGGGGAAGTGAACTGTAGCAGTATACCCAGTCCAGGCTAGTTAATCCAACCTTTGTATAAAAAGGGGTCATTTTTGTTTTATACTCCTGTGATTTGGGAATTGGGAAATGAGAGCCAAGAAATGTAAAGTTCAAGTTGGTCTCATTTCCCCCTTCATTTTCTTAAATGCAGTGAATCCCTAGTAGTATTCCAGGCCTAAGAGACCTCTTTTAAGGAAATTCTAGAAGCCAGCTAGCTGAGTGCTCCTGCAGTCCTACTGGCTTAAGAATGGCACAGCTAAATGATGTATTCTTTAGATTTCCATGGAGAAGTGGACTTACTGAACTAATTAGCTTCCTGGTCATTGGTTTATTAAAAAAAATATTATAGCATCACTTCATGGTTGGGATTGTGTTGCATGCTTTTAAAATAGCTTTTTCTCTGGAGGAATTAGCAATGTGGCATACAAATGCTGCAGCTGGAGCAAGGTAGGGGGTCTGAGAGTAAGCAAGTTTAGATAAAGGAAATTCAAATGAAACTGCAAAGAAACTTTTGAAACAGCTGATTTTTGTTAGTGGTAGTTTCAGGAAATTCAAACCGGATAAAAGGAATTGAAAATGATACAGAGATTGAGACTTAAAAGTGGATGAAAGATTTGAGAATGAGGCAGTTTGTGTGTGTGTGTGTGTGTATACAAATGCATTTTCGCCTGTGTACACCTGTGATGTCCCTTTAGGAGCGTAAGCAGTGGGGCCTTTTCTGTCATCCTGCTTAGAGTTAAACAGAAATTTAGAAAACTAATCTAGACATCTTGTTTGGTGAGTGAGTAAACTTTCCCATATTCAGTAGTAGCTTTGCCATTACAAGTTATCTTTTCGTTTCTGTTGTTGAATAGTTTTGATCTGAGAGGAAATTTATAGCATTGGAAAAGGAGATGCTATCAATTGTAGATGATTAGAAATGAAATGAATCAATAGTAAATATAAACGGAAGTGTGTGCATCACTGTTCCTGTGATCGCTTGGACAGAGCAAAGCAAGAAGGAGCTTCAGAGCTCATGGTGTTTATGTTCTTGCCGCTACAAGATTAATAAGAACCAAGAGCACAAATGGAGTTTTACCCAACAGATTTGAGTTGATTAAAGCTGAATGACACACACACATTTCCTGATTGTCCTGAAAATGGGATGTCTGCCTTATAACTGAGATATTATAACTGGGGAAATTATGTAGGATATTAATATACCTAACATGCTGTAGGTATTATTTAAAATACTGGTATCATTTCCTCAGGAACTTCTGTTTCCAGGTGGTTGGTTATTGTTGTGATTCAACTTCACAGACATGTCAGATACATAGGATGATCAGTATTGTGTTATGTATTAAAAGAGTTCATATTTTAAATGACTGAAATCTGATTTACCTTTGTATGTTTTCGTATCTTGATGTGTTTTGAAATAAAATGACATCTTATGAAATATTTTGAAAGTGAATGTTGTTCGCCATCCGTATGATTTCTACGTGGATTTTCTCACAGGTCTTTTTCTTTATGTCTGAACCCACATTCCTCTTTGCCTTTTGACTGTGTATATCTTTGGCTGTCCTTGTCCACATGGAATTTATCATCTCTTGGTTATCCCAGATCTTCTCTTTGATTTCTCCTTATGTACTTATGTAGTAGAGATCGCTCCCAATCATCTCTTAAGCCTCTCTGCCTGTTATCCTCAGTCAGTTGCCAGATCCTGCTGTTATTAATAGTGTTGTTTGTTTTATAGGCAAGGAAACAGGCAAGATAAGGTTAAAGTACTTGACAAAGTTGTGGAGCTGATAATCAGTAGAGATGGGATTTGATCCTAGCCAGATTAGATTTAATTTCTTCCTCTTCATTTTCCTCTTTGCTGACTTGATGCTGATATTCTTGGGAGATTGTTTTGTGTAGGTCAGCATTTTTAAGAAGGAAAATGCATATTAATAAAATTAGAAGATTTGATTAAAACTAGATGTGCCAGATTCCATGGTGCAATTTATAGAAACTGTAATCTGCAGATACTTTCTTAATGATTCATTGTGTTGTATCTCTTTGGGCAATAGAAGCCTTTGCTGTGTAGTTATGGAAAGCTTATTAATTTCAACATTTTTTTAATGGGTTGTGCAAAGCTTTTGTTTCTGAATACAGTTCATAATGATAAGATATGAGAGATCCTAATTTTCTTTCACTGAAAATGGACTTATATCTGATTGAGAGAGTAATTTTGATTTGGTGAATGAAGATTTTAATATGTGGATTATATTCATTTCTGCAGCAGCTTATCAGGGCCACTTTCTGTTATGAGGCTTTAAGGAAGGAATTGTTTCCCTTGCATGCAATTATTTTAGGAGGCTTATTAATAACATACTTCTCTTATGGATTAAAATTAATGAATACAGTCAACAGATAATTATAGAACACCTACTGTGTGAATCACTAATCTTTATATTGCCTTTTCAGTTCTTCTTAAAGATAAAAGTTGGATTGTGCCTCTGTAACTCAAAAGGCCTGTCTTGAAAAACTATTTGCATATAAACACATGAAACTTACCTCAGATCACTACCTTTCAGTTTTTGGAATCTTGACAATTTACTAATTATTTCCTTCATGTTGATAGGAGACTCTCAAATTTGATTAAGCAAGGAAAGATGCACTTCAAAACTGCTACAATTTGATTTTTTGCCAGCCAGGAAAGAAAATTGAAATGTGAATGGAGAAATTAATCTTCCGTAAGCTAATGACATGTACCCTAAAATGGAGATAAGGAGCTTTTATTGAACTTGGCTAGCGTGGCTTGCTTTCAGCTATAACATGTTTCCATTTATCAATATGATAACTTATTCTTTTCATTTTACATAATCATGTCCTAAAAACCTAGTGAATTACTTAACATCATTAAGGAATTGTACTGTATGTAAAAAGGGAACTGCTGCCAGTTCAGTGCTGACTGACATGAACTATTAATCCTGGAGGCAGTTAAATATATTGCCAGCCTCCTTGAGGTTATGTGGTGGTATGGTCATATGACATTATGTAGTTAGGCTCTTGAAAAAGATCTTATAATGTTTGTGTTGAGATGATGGCTATTTTTGTCATATGATGACAGGCAAGGATGACTTTGAATTTCTGTGAAGTAAATCTTCATTTTGCCAGCTGCCCATTATTTTGAATCAGGAGTCCGTAATACAGAGATGCTGCTCGGGCAATGGCATATGTGTTCCATCAGAGGTTGAACCAGGGGTCTGTTTTCTAGTAATGACAGTGGTGTCCTCACTAGACATATGGCTCGTGTGGTGGGATTGATTATGTTTCTGCTGCTGTTGGCCCTTTTGGTTCATTTTCTGAGCCAGATTGTCTGGCCTTTTTGGTGGTTATATGAGCTTCCCCATACCTTTTCTGTGATTTAGTTCATGATTGTTTTAGCTCTAATTAATTTCTGTTGCTTGCTGCTAAGAACCTTGACTCATCCCTATAGAGAGTTCAGTACTCATCATAGATCTCATGATGGAGCAACTAGACTATATATTATTGTTATTCAGAAAAATTTCACTTGCTAATATTTACTTGCAAATGCTCCTTGAAGCAAGACTGGAATTGAAATTAATGGTTTGCTCTAACTGTATTTATAAAGAGGATTTCATTTAACAAGTTGTGTCTTTTAATAACATTTCCTGCTGCCTCTGTTTTTGCAAAAAGATCCTCATTTTATAAAATACTAATTTTCCTTTTTCCTGAGTCTGCAGATATCACTGGGCTTCTCTGGTCGTCTTAGAATTTCTGTGAGCTAGAACATCTTTTCACTGCTGTTCTGAAAAGAAGCAGCAGGAGAGTTGCAAAGTAAAGAGCCAACTCTAGGCAGATT